TCCCGTACGAGAACCAGCAGTTAGGAATAGAAAAGGAGTACATAGGAGTTACAACGAGAAACCTAGGAATAAGGGTCAAAGAGCATAAATACGATATTAGAAAAAGATCTAACGCAACAGTTCTGGCCCAGATGGCTCAGGCCCAAGGATCCGTAGTTAGATGGGAGGATGCGGAAATCATCAAGCAAGTGCACTCCCCAACTTTAGCGAAAACTGCTGAAAAAATGGAAATATATAGGAGCAAGTTAGATGAAAAATGTATAAACGCCAGAGATGCGGAGGGCCTACCCTCAGCATGGAAGTACGCCGTTCAAAAACTTAAAAAACTTACAAGTAGCTCTTGAATTGCGCCATATCCGCAATTGCATTATGGGAACCATAATGATTTTTATTGGTTAAAGGATAGTGGCTTATAATAATAATATTTTATGGTTGTATGTTATTTATTTTTACATTTTTATATTTTTACGCTTTTATTTTAATTAGTTGCTACGTTATCGGTATTTATCTCTCTGAATTTGAATTTGGTGTTCTATTTTTTGTTATTCCAAATTTCGAATGTTTAAACCTGAGGATGATCTATGGAGTAGATCGAAAACGTTAGTTTTTTTAATAAAACTCCCTTGGCAAAAAATAAGGTGTTTGTTACTTGAATAATTATTTTGCCAAGTACGTTTCTGTTCAATATCACTCACTTCTTTATAACCTCTTCTATCTTGTCCATGTTCTCTGCACATCCCATCAGAATTATTTCACATCCTACAGCACATCCTAATGTGCTGTAGGATGTGATGTAATCCTAATGTGTATATGTGTGGAGCCAAAAGAACTATTAGCTCCTTTTGTCCCCCCTTTTAAAACTATATGTATATCTTCTTATGAGTCATGTTCGTTTAACCGTCACTATCTCAGGACTGAAGAGGGGCATTAAGTCCAAAATGCATATCCATCCACACCAATAAAACAACCTTCTTCCTCTGAAAGTGTTCCTGTGTGATATGTTCTCAACAGCAACATTGTGCTAAGAAAATACATGAAATATTCTTATTTTAAGCTGCTAAGCATTTTAAAAAAAATCACATTCCTTGTTATTTTAATTGGCATGTTTTGTTTTTATTGTAGATGCTGTAAATGTAGGGAAGATTTCATACTACCATTTGACAGCACTTCCCCATATACTACACATTTCTGTTTAGGACAGTTGTCAGCAACTACATAGGAAAATCAATATTTCATGTATTCATCACAGTGTTTTCTCTTTTTCCTCCCTGCAGAACTGAAGACTGTGCCCTTTCAGTGTTCTGCACCAAAACATTACACATGTCTTGAGAAGTGCTTGGTGATTGATCACTATTTTACTGTACTGGCTTTCAACCATTGATCCATCTGTTTTTTTGTTATGGCAATGCAGCACTTGGCGATCTGCCTAGTGAGGATACCTTCTGGGAGGTCTTTTAAAGGTAACTGGCCCCTATTTAGGTGTTAAAGATGTGAAAAAAACCCAGAAAACGCCATGTGGCTAGCCCGTCCCAACAAGGAAAGAACCCAAGACTGAACTACCAGTGTTCTGGGAACAAAACCACTCGGCCACTGGTGGGCCAAAGCACTAATCCATATCTAATTGTAAATAAATTTAGAAATTTTACTTTTGAATTAAAACAATGATAAAAATTACTGTACAGAAATTGATATTAATTAATAATAAAACATGTATAATCATGTGGCAGCACAAAATGCCTGCAAATTGATTAAATTAAATATAAAATAAATATCATAAAAACTAACTAAAAACTCTTTTGTTTCCTTCTTAATTTCTGACTCCATCGAATTTTATAATTTTTTTGGAATAACTAAAAACTTACATTTAAACGTGTAATGTAAACAAAATTATAGAATTTAAAATGTTAGCACCAGTAGAATTGTAATAATACAGTAGACCCCCCTATAATTACGGTTCCTATAAAACTGCGAAAAAATTGCGATGGTATCCGTAAAAAAAGGTAAAAAACTCCTATAATTACGTAAAACGTCATCGGGCAGCCGAACTACTTTCCCGCCGTCCGTAGCGCCACGCTACGGAGAGATTTCTATCGTCTGGACAGTATTATATAAATTATATATAAATTAGGTACTGTACATATANAAGCCACGCGTGTTTTTCGTGCCCTCCTCTGTCAAAGCTCTGCTGTAAGATTATGTATTCAACACTAAAAGTTTGTATTCTTATTCGGTTGCAAAATTTGTACTTTTGGTTCATTATTTTTGGTTCATTACGATTTCATCTAGCATCCTAAATCAATTTCCACCAATTACCAAATGGATAAAATCTGAACAGTGGTTGTGGGTTCGGGCCTCACCAACGGGCGAGCCACGTGGGTTTTCTTCACTTGTCTAATATCTAAATAGGAGCCAGTTTTCCATGGAAAGTCCTTCGAGAGTCATCATTCCTTGGCAGATTAATCCAAGAATCGGGTATTTTGGTTGAAGTTGAGATACACGACTTACGTCCACTAATCTTGATATCTAAAAAAATACAGTCGACCCCCCTATAATTACGGTCCCTATAATTACGATTCCTATAAAACTAAAAAAAAATATACGTATTTTGGAAATGTTGAGTCGGATTAGTCTAGAATCAATTAATTTTATGGAAGAAAACCTTTCAAACAGCCGTAGTCCGTAAACTTGACACGTGTCGGGCTGTGATTGGAAGGACTCTTAAGAAATTGGATTCCTAAAGAATGGAACGTATCTATGATCTTATAGGGGGGGGTCAACTGTATAATGTTCAGTAAGTTTTGTGTTGCATGTTTATCAAATAGTGGTGCCTTAGTCAGCACCGTACTATTACATGCAAAAACTTTTTTATCGAAAAGTGTTGGAGGATGGACACACAAATATAATAAAAATATAATTATGTTTTTATTTAAAACTAAGAATCAAGTGCTGTGATGTTGCCAAAGGCCTCAACACAGAATCCAAATATTCTTATAGTACATCTTCCATTATTAATTTTTTTCATGTACCCCTAAACCACCAAGCATGTACCCTCAGTTGGGAATCACTGGTCTAAAGCCTAATTTACACAAAGCATAAGCAGCTGACATCATATCTTGTGTAAGCCTGTATTGTCAAAAGCTTAATGATTTACATTAGGAGTACTTGAGTATATTCAAACCTCTCTTCACCAGGGATGTGGAGTCTAAGTAGAGTTAGTGAAAATGGACTGATTCCAGCTCTGATTCCATTTCTTTTATTATGTACTTTATATTAAGTTCCTAATAGAAGTGTTTACTTCTTATCTTTTATTACAGGAGCCTCTTGTAATATAAGATCCTATTTTATGATAATTCCCCTACTTCACAATCTTTCTTTGCATATCACTAATTTACTGTTGATTTTCTTTTCAGAAACTTATATTCAGTTACATTCTGTGTTAACTAATTCTAAATTTTTATTGTGAAAAAACCTATACAAAATGGCTAAAACAACTTAGATTTAAACTAGTTTTAAATTGGGTAGAATAACTAATACAGTAGAGTCTCGAAAACTTGGCCTAATGTGGACTGAAGGGTGGCCAAGTTTGTGAAAATGCCGGGTATTCAGAAATGGGGTTAAAAAAGGATAAGTATGCGTGTTTCCTCAGAAAATACTGTACTGTACTTGTATGTATTGTTTGCTTGAGAATACAACAGAGAATAAACTGCCCAAATACCCTTAAACAAAAGAAAAGACTGTACATACTGTACTTTATGAAAGCACAGAGCCTTTACTACATGAAAATGAAAATTAATGAATACACAGTGTATAGTAATTTAACTGATAAGACAAACCTCAGAAAAGCATAAAGCTGTCTAGAATGAAAATTATCTAGCCGACTTTGCAAAAACTGGCTACTTTTTTTTAAAGAAATGAGTAATGTCCTGTTGTCTTCTGCACTGCACTCTGCGTTTTGCTGCTTCATCACGAAGACGACGAAGGAACAGTAAGTCCATTACCGATGCACCTTGTTGTTCAAAATACTGAAGGGCGGTTTCGACAGCCTTTAGTCCCTCACTATGTGATATTTTAGGAGCTTGTACAGTGGAGTCCTCAACGTCAACATCTTCATTATTTTCCAGCATTTTTTCATTAACTGTGACAGCAGCAATAATTTCTGCATTGGACATAATGTTTTGGTCGGTATCGTTCTGGAACCACTGTTCGATGTCATTTTCATTGGCTTCTGCACATCCAGGAACTCTTTTCAGGAGGTTGAGTAAGTTTACATTTTCTGCATCATCATGTTCAATGAACTCATTTCCCTCGTGATCAAGAAGTTTTCGCCAGGAACGAACTAGTATTAATGACTCTAACTCATTCCAGGCGTCTGCCACCCAGCCAACAACATCCAATAGGTTAATTTTCTTTAAGTTCTGGAGGATAAGACCTTGATCATTATCGTTTGCAGAAAGAAGGGAGGATAACAGCTTGTGCCTATATCTTCTCTTGAGACTAACCAAAACTCCTTGGTCCATTGGCTGGCATAACGCCGTCACATTGGGTGGTAGAAACATTGCTCGTATGTCCCCATTTTTTAACTCTTCAATGTCTGGATGCAAAGACGCGTTGTCCAAAATCAGAATAGCCTTCCTTGGCAGGTTTTTAGATTTTAAAAACTGCTCAACCGATGGAACAAATACTTCATGAAACCATTCTTTGAAAATTGCACAGCTCATCCAGGCATGTGACTGGTTTCGATACCAAACTGAAAGTTTACCCATTTCAATGTGCTTAAACGCACATGGTTTCTTTGATTTTCCTATGAGACCAAGCTTTAATTTGTGCTCACCTGTTGCATTACTGCATGCTAGGATTGTTACCCTCTCCTTGCTTGTTTTAAAACCTTGGGCTGATTGTTCTTCCTTGAAAGCAAGACTTTTCGCTGGTAGCAGTTTATAATTTAACCCTGTTTCATCACATTTGTACAATTGCTCTCTGGTCAAACCTTCAGCTTTGATAAATTTCTGAAAGATTTTTTTAAACTGAGACATACCCTCTATGTCCCCAGATAGTTTTTCCCCACAAATACTAAGCTGCCGGACTCCATAGCGTTTCTTCCAGCGATCAAGCCAGCCAGTGCTTGCAACAAATTTAGGATCGTTGTCTTTTTTAAATTCTTCGTAAAATTTCAAGGCCTTCTCTTGCAAGATTGGCCCACTAATTGGTGTGCCCTTCTTTCTTGTTTGGCGAAACCAAATGTAAAGTGCTTCGCTTACCTCATTAAAGTCACTTTCCTTCATACTTTTCCTTTCTTTCAATGTTTCTGTACACATTCTGCTAACACACCACGACTCGATTTCTGTCCGCTTCTTCTTCCAGTCTCTAATCGTACTTTTGCCAACTCCCAAGTCCTTAGCCACTGCACTGACACTTTCTCCCTTATCCAATCTCTTTAATGCCCTCAACTTTTGTTCCATAGACATGTTCACTTGTTTTCTTTTAACAGAAGATGCCATCGCAGAGTACTGTTGTTGTGATGGAATCGTTTAGATGTACTGTTTCCGCACTTTTCCTCTTTTTCACACAAGCAATGGTTGTTGCCGTAGAAATACGGATCGAGAAATGACCACTAGTTTTGAAAACAGAATAGATGATTGGCCGTCGATCATTGGACGATTGCACGGACCTCCGATAGGACTATGAAGTGCTCATTGGTCAATCAGCACTATCTTCATTCCATATAAAAAGATTGAGTTTAGGCGGGAGAGTTAAGTTCGCCTAAATTCGTTTTCGCCCTGCCAAGGTGTGGCCGAGTTATCCGGACTGCGGGTTATCGAGTGCCGAGTTTTCGTGACTCTACTGTAACATGTTATAACTAGATTTTTGTAATATATTGTTTGATTTCTTCAAATCTGAAAATAAGCAAATTAGAAGTACTTTACAAAATATACAAAGTACAATAAATGTAAATAAGAGGATGACCATCAAATTCATATCTACCCTAAGAAATTGTAACAGAAAATATTGGACATTTATTCATAAAATATGAACAAAAAGCTAAGAGGAGATGCAGAATTTGCAAGGTCAAACAATGAATTAATAAAATATTTCTCTCTTTATAATTTCAATTACAAAATCAAAAAAATTAAAAGAAAAAGTCTAGAAAATAATTTTTTATAAAAAATAACAAAATGAATTAATTAAAATTGATTAGTAAAATATGTAAATATAGCAGTAACCCATTAAAAATGGCAATAAAATAAATAAAATCTATCAGTCGTTTGGTAAAATTGATAATTTTGTTAAACTTAATGGTAAGCAAAATCTCACTATTAAGCAGTTTAATTTTTTTCCTCATCAAAAATGATGAGATGAGATAAGAAATTAAAAATTATGTTTTTACTTAAAGGTATACAAGCTTTACAAACTACATTTTTTTTATCGTGTCATTTTCCATAAAGACTTGTTTCTTAATAATTTGTCACATTATCCCAAATTTAAAATGGCCTATAAAGTTCTTATTATTTCAGAAACTTATAACAAACATCACAAAGCTCAATATGTATATAGAAACATCACCAAATACTCGCCTAAATAATTGGGCAATAACTACTAATTTAGTGGTTATAGCCGATTATTTAGGCAGTCATTTGGTGATGTTTCAGAAACTTAATCCTAATTTATCCAATTTTGTTAACCTTTAAATTTGGACATGCACCATCTGCCAAAATTGTTATATTTGATTTAAAACTTCTGGTGAAGAAAGTTTTCTACCATGAATAATTCAAAAATATGTAGTTTAAAATATGTCTAAAGAATAAAGCTTCATACAGCACACCAGCCTATAATCAATACAGAAGGAAACACGAGAAGTTATTAATTAGTTGTATATAAATTTTTGGGTGTGGTAAAGATTCACATATTGGCCGCGTTCGGCAGACCCAACAGTTGTAACCGAACAAATTGGTAGCCCTTATGAAGCAACCTGGATCTGCAGAACGATGAGTGATGAATGTGTTGGAACAAAAAGCCTCATCAGTCAGTTTCAGATAGCAATAGTTAGCGTAAATAAAAGATTCCAACAAACGTGACGTTAAAACATCAAACACATTCCAAAAGAACGCTACCATAGAGGGCGTTCAGCAAAAAATATACTCAACAGCTCCGGAACTGTTGAGTCTGCTGAATGCAGCCATTGTTTCTTCTCTTGTTATGAAAAAATAAAAAATCACCATTAAAATATGAGTTCATTCAGACATTTATACAAATATTAAAGCCAATTTAAGGACTGGCCATATTATAAGAAAGAATTGTTACTTTCTGATTAAATATCTCACCAAAAATTTCTGAGTTTTTGAGATAATTTAATGGGTCCTGAACTCTCAGTTCAAATTTTTTGCTTCTTAAGATTCTAATAATGACCAAGAGGAAAAGTACGGATTATCCTGACGTTGAATTAGCAATTCAATTAATCTTTGTATGGAATAATACAAGTATTTGTATGTTTGGTTCAGATACACGAGTTCACTACCCGGAAGATTATCATCATTTAAAAAAAAAAATGCATTAATTTCTTATGCATTAAATTTAGAAATATCTTACGTATTGTGCTAAATCCTGTATGCTTTTAGGATCTGGTATAGCTTCTTCATTAGTTTTTTTATTAGCATCTTTTTTCATCTCTTGACTTTTCTGCACCTGTGTTTCGTTCGCTGGATCCGCCATTTTGATTAGAAACAGCGACGCTTAGCAGGAATTTATTCAAAGAATTATTCGATTGATGAGTAAACGAAAAATCATAAACAGTTAATTAATAATTTCATTAAAAATAATTACGAGTATATTAGATAGACTGTTTATTATACTAAATTGATTTTATAAGAACGTTAATAATAAATATTAAAATAATATTAATTCAAACGGAATAAAATTATACTATATAACATTTATTACGAATTAGGTGCAATTATAATATTCATCGGTATTATAAATGTTTTTTCCGAAAGAGTTCGCTAGAAGCAAAGTATGACCACGAGTACACGTTGTTCAAACGGGATAAAATAAACTTGTGTAACTATGGACGAAAATAATTCTCAAAATAAAAATTTTTATAGTATTTTATTACCTACGTATAACGAAAAAGAAAATCTACCTATAATAGTATGGCTGATTATGAAATATATGACAGAAAGGTATGAATAAATAATTGTTTATTATTAATCGAGATTAGTATTTAATTCTTCTTGACAAGAAACACTGTAAATACGATTTGATCTGTAATTTTTATTTATAAATTACGATAATATATAAGTTGTAAAAATATAAAAATATATCACAGGTTTGATATAATATCAGTTATGCGGCTTGTCATTTTTATTGAATAATTTTATTTGTTGAATTTTACAGTCAAAATATAACATTAATACATTCATAACAAACTAGGATTTTAGTTTATATAATATTCATTGTATATTTTTTCCAGAATTAATAATTGATATTGTCAACAAGTACTTGTTTTAACACAATTTTAATTTCATCACTTTCATTACTGGTTTAAAATTTACATGATTTACATTACAGCATTTAGATTACTGATTAAAAATTTCATTGGCTGCGTTCAGCAGACTCAACAGTTCCAGAGCTGTTGCATATTTTATTGCTGAATGCCCTCTACAGTAGCACTGGTTTGGAACATGTTTGGTATTTTGACGTCACATTTAGTAGCATCTTTCATTTATGCTACCTATTGCTAGCTGCAACTGACCAATGATGGCTGCTTTTTTGTTCGGAAGCATATATCGCTCATCGTTTGGCAGATGTAATTACGTAACAGCTACCGATTGAAATGCTTTTGCTCAGTTACAACTGTTGAGTCTGCTGAACGCAGCCATTATCATCTATCCACTATTTCAATCAATTAGTATTGGGTCAGTTTAGTTAAAATTCTCCATTTATCCTATCCTACCATATCTATTTACAATCCTCTTTCAGTTCCAATTGATTTCTCAGTTGATTTAAAAATTTATAGAATGGTTATTTCTATTATCAGTATAATAGCAAAATATATATTGCTGTTTAAAATTAAATTCATTATTAATGGAATTGTCAACTGCAGTATGTATTAATCAGTGGTGTGCCGAGAATGGACTATGGCATGGTTGTTCAACTTTTTTTCCTAATGGGCCAAATTAGGAATTTAGGTATATTCAGTGAGCCACAAAAGTACTTTATATAAATGTATGCTTTTAAAAAGTTCAAAATGTGAATATCAAATTTTAAAAACAAATATATAATTACAAAAATACTGTATTATTTATTGACAGTAAAAAAACAAATTATACTCACACAAAATAAAAATAAATTCAATGCGATTTTTGACATTTCCTTCCTTTTATAATATTGTCAATATCTGCTTTTATAGTAAGCCACAAAAGTACTTTATATAAATGTATGCTTTTAAAAAGTTCAAAATGTGAATATCAAATTTTAAAAACAAATATATAATTACAAAAATACTGTATTATTTATTGACAGTAAAAAAACAAATTATACTCACACAAAATAAAAATAAATTCAATGCTATTTTTGACATTTCCTTCCTTTTATAATATTGTCAATATCTGCTTTTATCTTACTAGTCTTTAAAGATTCTAAGAATGTTAGTTAAATGGGAATTACTCAACCTATTTCTCTTAGCAGTTTTGATGATTTTCACTCGCAAAAAGAATTGTTTACAACAGTACTGTATGTACTAACCCACATGCATAACAGTTCTCTAGATAAAACAGTTTTTGAACACAATTATGTCATTATGACTTCAAAGTGTATCCAGTGAAACAGGAATAATTTTTACAATATACTTTACCAAAATAAATGATAATATACCTAAAAAAATTTAGGGTGCAGTGGGCTGCGGGTAGTCGCATTAGGCTAGTCCCCTACATTCTTTGAAGTACTGTCTAAATATTATTTTTAAAGCATTGTATTTGAAATCTTTCACTTGAAAAATGTGTATTTTTCCCATCTGGCCTCCCTTCCTTTACGCTGAGTTGAACTATTCCCGTGAGCCAACCTGAACACTCCTCAGAGCTCCTTTAGTTAATTCATCGACAGGACTAGCTTGCAGACATGTGTTCCCATTGTACTGTTATATTCAAAGGAATATCATATATAATAGGTAAATGCCTCACCTCATTTTTATTTCAGAGGTTCAATGGAATTAAGTTAACTCTATTCTGTCAAATCTCACAACTCTGTGAGAAAATGTTTATCTTCCTGTTTATCAATTAATTTATTTATATAACAGGCATTGTCTTGAAACTTTTTCACTAGAAAATAGACACTTTCCTCTGTTTTATAGTACAAATTTGTAATTTTGTATTAATTTTTATCTACAGCAATTGATTATGAAAATTAATTATGTTCAATTACATGTTTTTTTTTCTACAATACTTTAGTTAAATAATTAACAATACATAATTTTGTTTTAAAATTATTCAATTTTAAATAAAAATTTAATTTTTTTTCTTAGTGAATATGATTTTGAAATTATAATTGTTGATGATGGAAGTCCGGATGGTACTTTATCTGTAGCAGAACAATTACAGAAGATTTATGGAAATGATAAAATTGTAATAAGTATCTCATATTTATTCTATTAGTGATAATTATGCAATTTAAATTTTAAAGAAATGAATTTTAGTGTATCATGTTTTTTTTTAGTCCTAAAAACTTAATAATTCATACATTTATTTTATTGTGTGTGGTTTTACCAGAGTAAAGTATAGAGTACAGTCGACCCCCCTATAACAGTTAATTCCATTTTATATGAATTCCATGTTGTACAAGTCACTTAGATTTTACAAATACGTGTGCCGGGCTGTGAACTGCTCACTTAGTTGTAAAATCTAAGTGACTCGTACAACATGAAATTCATATAAAAACGGAATTATCAGCAGTGTTATAGGGAGGTCAACTGTACTTGCACTCCAGACTTTTTTAGCTGATCAATTGCTAATGTGCATGACTGTGTATTCTCATTTTGTAACAGACAAAAACAAACGATATCTTGAGTTTATTGTACAATTAATCATCTGGAATTGAGTTAATTTAGTTATAATTACAAGAAGGAAAAAAATAATTTTTTATAATTGTTTTTTGAATAAATTACTGATAACTTAGTGACAAAATTATCAAAATGGCAAAAAGTTATGAAATATATTGTTTAGCTGTCAAGTGCCTTAACTGTAAAGCAGCAGTTCCCAACTTATTTTTTATCATGGAATCCTTTTCACCTTAGTAAAAAATGTTGGAACCCTGACAATATTTAACCCGGCATGAATGAGGTGAGAAATTGTCACACCAGCTATGAGGTGGGTAGGAGATACCCGAAACTTCGATGCAGAATTTTTTATACTATAATTGTGTAAAAAGTATTTTTTCACTTGGGATAATAAAAATAGTATCTATTCAACAAGATGAGTAAATAAAATATTATGTTTAATATTGAAAAGCATTTTTTTAATTGAAATAAAGTGTCTATATTTTCCTTGAAAAACTACAAGTTTTGGTAGTTTAAAATTTTTTTGTATAAAATTCTAACAAAATTACAACTTATTTGGTTAATCAACATAACTATAGTATATTTCAATTATAAAAATAGAAAAAAAACTAAAAGTTCTTATGAGATCAATTTGCACAGCACCAACATTACACCTACAAATCAACACAATCTCCACCATAAAAATTGCATGCTTCATACATATTGGCTTCTCACACTTCGAACAGCAATGTTTTGTTTTTCTATCTGTTTTTTTAGTACAGGCACCGCACCTGACATATTTACTACCCACTTTTTTGGAAACAGGTAATGAAGGTTCTCCCAGATGATCAGTAATCACTTTCGAGTTTCCCTTGGATAATGCATGTTTTGTTGTCTAATGCGAAGACTATCATCTGAGAAATCTAAAAATACTATAAATAACTATAACTCATAAACTTACTGTTAACTCAAAAATGTAACATCGACTATGAGGTTGGGTGTGACGTACCCCAGTCACCTTTGCTCATGTGTATCTCCCGCTGATGCAGGCGCAACACTAAACTCAACACTGCACCTCGTCTTCTACTCCCTTATCTCCAGCTACTGTGACGATAGGATTTCCATGACAAAAATAACATTAAATAATCTGCCTTTAAAATCTTCTTGGGTATGACATACCCCGCCTCACTCACGCCAGGTTAAGATTATAGATAAAATAGCAAATAAAAATACCAAAAACAATTTATTGAAGAAGAAAAGCAGATTAATAATGGAAAGTAAATGTTATTACTTAATTCAAACTGACAATTAATGTGAAGGATTAAACTTTTTTTTCAATATTTTAAATAATGCTACTGCCTATATTTGTATCTTCATTGGTAGCTGCCTTTTCAGTCTCCTTGTTACTAGAAACATTTGAAGTACTTGCTACATTTTTTCTTCAAAGCTCTTCTCTCAGCCAACACTCCATGGTATTTTAATTTGGGATATACACAATATTGAAAGCACTATAAATCTATACAATTCCCACTATTTTATTATATTGAAAAAATATCACAAAATGAATGCAGTGCAAAACTAATAATCTTTGACTAATATGTCTGCTTGTATGCTGTATCATTCTGTTCCAACACACTACAATGATGGGACATTAATTAACCCCTTCACAAGCATCTGATGTGAGTGTCCTGTCACTGGTATCGAAATATGTACAGTATCATCAGACATCTGACTGGCCACTCTTATCATTATATTAAATAGGTTTGCAATGCAGTACAGATATCGACAAATTAAAGCATGTTTAACGACTATTATTATTTATACATTAGATACTTTTTAAGGTTACTTTTTAAGTGATTTTCTAGCTTTGGTTTAAGTTTTACCATTTTTATGGTTTTCATTATTTTGTCAAACATTAAATCATGATTTTGGTTTGTTCTGTTACGGATAAATCAGTCCCTGTTGTTTACTGTATAAAGTTATACATAACTCTAACATGTATATAGGATGTCATAAGAGGATTTGATCCAAGACTAGAACAATTGCACCTCATGTCCCAATTCTGTATTGGCACATTCATACATCACTACACTCAACAGATTTTATTGTGGAACCTTAAATTTTGTTGGTGGAACCCTAGGGTTCTGTGGAACACAAGTTGTAAACTCCTGTTACTTTAAAGTGAAAACTTAAGATAAAAATATTTAAATTTTTTCATAATGCAGAAAAGTCATTTTACTTAATGTAGCAATGATAAAAATAAAGTAAATAATAAGTTAATAACTTAGAATATTAATTAAACTTTGTCAAGAAGTGTTTAATAGACACAGCTATAAAAAATGATAATTTTAAAATAAAATTGAATTTTGACATTTGGCAATAACAAATAATGGAATTGTAAATGATTATTGCCAAATGTCAAAATTTCTTTGTATGATTTGGAATTGTAAATATGTCAATTTTGCAGAAAATTGTAAAAAAGCTGAGGAGGGACCATAAGTCCAAAATGCATAGTATTGAAAATAAATTGATATATTAAGGCTGGTCATGTCTGATGATGGTGTGATAAGTCTAGAAATAAAGATGCCATCATAGAGCTCACCAACAGTTTAAACTAGACAAGAATCATATATTATAGTACTTACATTCTTGATAATTTATTGTCATATGTCTTCACTATTACAATACATGCAGCAATTTAACAAATTATCAGAATTTTTAAAATATCATTATTACTTACTATAATTTAAATGTTAAGTTTTTTATTCAAATAATGAAGTACAACAAGCCTACATTTACATTTTCATTTAGTGGAGCACTCCCTCTGACCTGTAGCATTAATTGCTACTGGCTTGAGGTACTCCTCTTTTAATTGACCCTGCTTCGCATATGCTTTGCAGGTAGTTAAGATTACATAGTCGCGGTCACCCGACAATTCTATTTTTTACATTAATTATATTTTTGTTGAGTAGAGTATTTGATGTCATTAATTTGACAATGAACTATGAGAGAAATTTTTATGTTCTGTTTTTATAACAAGTTTTTATAAATTCATTGAAATAATGATATATGTTAACATTATTTATAAGGCTACTTTTCCTAATAGGCCAATTGTAACCTTCTTTATTACAAACTAATTTTAACTCGTTTCTTACTTTTTCATATTGCATACAGTCAAATAAGATGTGTGTGGGTGTTTCACTTACCCCACAAATCTCGCAGTTTTCATCATCTCGATGATTAAATCTATAATGATATTTCGCAAAATCTCCATGACATGTCACGAATCTTGTGAATTTGTGTCCATTTGTAGATGTTTGTTATTTAACCTCTGGTTAATATCTGGTATGTATTCAAAGAGTTCCCTTCCTTTTGTAGTTATTTCCCACCGTTGTTGCCACTGTAATATGTATCTATTTTTGATTTCAGTTTTTATGTATTTTGTAGATATTTTTCTGTATGATTCCTTTGTTTTTAGATAACTAGCCTCTTTAGCCAGACTGTCCGCTCATTCATTTCCTTGGTCTCCAAAATGGGCTTTGCCCCAGCTGAACACAAGCATATTATCACTTTTCACAATATTTTGTCTTATATTATCTATTACTTCACTTTTATCGTTACCATCATTAAGAGCTTTTAATACAGCCTGGCTGTCTGTGCAAATAGTAATTTTTATATTTTTCTTCCTTTGACTTATCCAGTTAATTGCATGATTACCAAGCAGAATTGGTAGCAATAATGCAGTTATTGCTACCAATTCTGCTTGGTAATTTGTGCATCTTTTATCTAACTTGATTTTTTTATGATACTGTTTCCTATTTCTATAGTAATAAACATACAAGAGAAACGTCATCATATAGATCAGAGTTGGCATCATTTGATTTTGGGGAAGTGCCGAGTTAACATTTGCCAAATGGCGACTGCCACGTCGTCTGTCACGTTGGTCATGTTACTATTGCTTTTCGTATTTTCTGTATGTGATGGCGATACTTACACATTTGATAAAGATTTAGGAATTGCATTTGAATTTAAAGTTCACGTGGATGCAGGAAGAGAAGAATGTTTCTATCAAATTATTCACGCTGGATTGACGCTATTTGTTGCTTTCCAGGTAATGCGAGGAGGAGATGGGATGGCTGGATTTGCAATTCGTAATCCAAATGGATTACATGTATTTCCTTACCAATGGAAGCCTAATGCTGAATATGAAGAACAGAAAGTTGAAATATCTGGTTATTATCAACTTTGTATAGATAATTCTCTATCTCGATTTGCATCTAAACTTGTAAGTTTATATGTTAATTCCTTCAAGCGTGATGAATGGGAGAGTTACATCAAAGAATTAGAAGAAATGGATGTCACTGTGGCCAACTTTACGGGCACATTGAAGCAAGCCTACACTTAATACCATTGATAGGTTATTTGAAACTGATGAAATATGAATCTTAAATGAAATAATGTATGATGAAACCATTTTTAACGTAGGCTAATTGATATAATTCAACAATTAATGTTATTCTAATTGGATTGTGTTTGCAACCTCTGGCATTTATTTTCCACTTCATAGAATCAGTTTCACTGCCTTTTAAGAAAATTCAATAATGGTAATTTAAATGACTACAATTGTACTTGTATCTTTACACAATGATGCTGTAATGAAACAATATTAAGTGAAGACTTGCTATAATTAGAAACAGAGAAGATTGGGCTGATCTTTTCTTGCGACTTCGGTCAGTTGTGGCTCCTGGTTTCGTGTGCTTTTTCGTATGTTATTCTCGGAATACCATTTTAGTTTACACATCCGTGGAAAGAGCTCTTCAGCCCGGTTCGTATGGTATATTAATTATATAATTTTCTTAATTAGGGTGGGAGCTAAAGGATTTTAAATTTTGCAATTTTCAGTAGGCTCTTGCGGGAGGGGGATAAATCGGAAGGGACGCGGATTTGGGGGTTGTATTTACTATATCATTTTGTATTAGATGTGTAAATTTGGGGTAGATCGGTGTATTTTTAACGGTGATATAAGCGTTTTATTCTATAGCATTACCAGTTATGGAAATTTTCAAAAGTAACGAACTTTTAACGGTTTTGGTTAACGTTTTTTTTTTTTTTTTCATTTAATTTAAATAATAATAAAGCTTTAGTTAAATATTTATTGATCTCATTATATAAATATTTTAGATTTTAAGGATTTTGGGTTTTTTTTTTCGGGGGAATTCTTTTTCGGGATTTTAGTATTATATTTCAGTTCTCGGGTCATAGCTTGTAGGGTTCTTTGGTTTTTGTTTTGGTTTGTCTTTTATTCTTTGGTTTTCTCGGGCTCGAGCTCTTTTCACTGGGTTATTGTTCGAGGTGCTCATTGACAGTATGGACAATATCAGGAGAGAAATGAAATGTAACGATCCCAGGGTTGTTTTAGCACCCTTTGATGACGTTGACATCAATTCTTCGCAGACACGAATTATTTTGGCTGAAACACAAAACGACCGGGGGGAGCCAGCTGAGGAGGAAATGATTAGGGACAGTGAATTCTTACTTGGTCGTGTACTTGACCTCTGTCCGGGGAACACTAACTCAAGTATCAAAGTCAACCAAAGATTGGAATTAAGGAAATGTGCAAGAAAATTATATGGTTATCTGCATGAAATGTATGGAATAATTAAAGAAATCAGGAAAAATAAAAGAGGACCCACAGAGACACAAATGCCTAATATCCCACAGAAAACTTATGCGGAAATAGTGAAAACTACTAATAACTCAAGTTCTACAACCAAAATAATATCGAAATCTCTCTCATCTAAGATTAACAATGAGGGCACAGGTGGAACACATGCTGTTCTCGTTTATCCTTCTCAAGGGGCTCAAGAAGAGCACACTGACATAAATAACATTGTGAATACGATTATGACAGAGGTAAACCCAGCTAATATTGGCTTAAAAGTTAAAGGAGTCAGGAAGATAAGGAATGAAGGAGCTTGCTTTAGGGTTGGTAGCTACAAAGACGGAGAGAAATTATTGAAAGCAATCGAAAAGATTCCATCCACTAAAGAAAAAATTAGATGCCACATAGCTGAAGGACGGAAACCACGAATAATTCTTCTTAATGTCCCAGAATCTGTTGAAAATGACAGTCTTTTAGAAATGGTATACAATCAAAAC